CGTTTAACTGGATATTGAATGACAAAAGTTGAGTAAAAAGAAACTGCAGCGCACGATATGAAAAACAACAACTATCAAAAACAATAAAGAGTATTATTCTATATATAACAACGACTTTTATTGCACCTCATCTTTCAGTAATGCAGATAGGCTATCAAGATATAAATGAATGCTTTCAGATGATTGCTTGCCAAGCCAGTTTAAGTATTGTTTATAAAGTTTAAGTCATGACTTGTAAAGCAATCTTCATTTTTTTTCGATTATAGATGTCGATGCAATTTGTTTTGACAAACTACAATATTTTTTATGGAAATATCAGCATCAGACTCTATCAAATCATCATAAATTAGATATGATCTTTATGAAGCCTGATGTGTAACTTTTCGAATACTTGAATAATTTAGAGATTTCATATTGGATATAACAAATATTTATTTTAGTTTCATTATAGAGGATAAAATAGACATATTTGAATTTAAATATAAATATGATTTTAGATGTGGACCTTTTAAATAAAAACTGTTTAAATTAAAAGAAAGGCATATAATAATTTCTTTATTATACTTACATATCGAGAAAATATTGATATATTCAATTTCTGTCACTTGCAATCATATAAAATTTCTTTGCTTCTAGATAGCTAGCACATGAATCTTTCAACGATGCATATCTCCAATAAGAGTAATATAATCAGACAGAAATATTGTTTTATCAGTATAAAATAATCTTATCTGATTTCTATCTATATTTTTAGAATGTTTCTATATTGTCGTTCCTTCGCTAGTAACTTAAAGCTTCCATTCCTATAAATATTTAATCAAAATTCGATTATTTCTTGCATTCTTGAAGAACTTGTACAAACCAACAGGAGACTGTAACATATGAGATAAAAAATTAAAATGAGAAAAATAATTTAGCAAATAGATATAGCATATAGAAGAGTATATAGGAAAGACTAGCGTCTTCAAGTACAATTTTTTAATACCTTTTTTGTAATAATTTGATAGAGATGAATTTTAATTTGCTCTCTTTATATGTTTTGATGTTTTGATGTTTCCGTATTATATTATATGTACAATTATCGTCATTATTACTAAAATTATTTAATTTCCCAAGAGACATTATTGACGCAAACTTGAATGTATCATGCATTGATATTCGAAATTATTAAGGAGTCTTGCTCATGCATCACAGTGTGTTTTAACATATTTTTATTTTCGTTTAATGATTTAGTTACAATAACCGCGTTGCATCCATCTGTTGCAGTTGTGCGTTTGATATGCTTTAACATATCATTCTTCTGTGAGAAACTTTTACCACAGGTCTCGCAAGAATAAGGCTTAACACCCGTGTGGATTCTCTCGTGTACAGTTAGCGCGCCTTTACGCGTAAAACCTTTGTCGCAAAAATGGCACTTATGCGGTTTCAGACCCGTGTGGATCTTCATGTGCTGGCTAAGATTACTGGAACATCTGTACTGCGTATTGCACACCTTGCAAATGTAAGGACGTTCACCGGTATGTATCCTTTCATGAATCAGCCGCGCCTCTCTCGAAACGAACGAATTTCCGCAATAATGACACATATGCGGTTTTTCTCTCAAATGCTTCGAATTCTTATGATACATTAACGAACTTTTACTTGCTAATTTCTTGCCGCATTCATCACATTCATAAAACTTATCGTCTCCATGTACACGCTCGTGATTTAACAAGATGGCGCGCTTTGAGAATATTTTATTACAAATGTTACAACGCCATATGTCCTTATCAGTACATTTTTTCTTAATGCTGTCCACTATTTCCTCCTCGGAATGGTTTTTCCTGTGTATCTTTAATTCGCTCATAGATTTACATTTGTAGGCACAAACCTATAATAAAATATACAATTTTTCCTATTGTTTCCAATTATTTAATTTTCGATGAGAATATAACTGATATCAATGTATAAAGACAAACAATATATAATAATTTTTATAAAATACTTACACTACATCTATATCCTCCATTATCGTTATTATGCCGTTTCATGTGTGCGATCATGTTCCCTCTACGATTAAACGTTGCACCGCAAATCGAACATGTATGCCTATTAGAGCCATGTGATAATTTGTGTTGTCGCAATTGAATCCTTTTATAAAAAGCTTTGCCGCATTGTTCACAACAATAGGGTCTGTTATCATCATGCTGATTCATATGTTCTCGCAAATGAAATCTGTAAACACAAAAAAAAAGTTGCATAAAATGTAATCCTCTCTGTTCTGAATTTAATTGGAATAATCTTGAGTATAAATTTTTTCAATTACCGTGATCTAAACGCATTGCCACAGATCTCACACACGTGTCTTTTCTTTATAGTTTCGTCCAAATGAATTCTTTTATGGCCCCTTAAATTATTGGAATGCTTAAAACTTTTTCCACACAGATCGCAAAGATAGGGTTTATCTACTCTGTGAGTAGCTTCGTGAATATCTAAACTAGACCACTTCTCATATGTTTTATCGCATATAGAGCACTTAAATAATAATTGTCCCTCGTGCAATTCCATAATATGTATTAACAAGTTTTTTTTGTTATGATACACTTTTTCACAATGACCACATCTTTTATTCATTTCAGTAAGATTTTCATGAAGATATTTGTGATTATCATAATCCTGCTGACTTTTAAACGCTTGGTTGCAAACAATACAATGCATTGATTCGCAATTTTTATCAGTAATTTGCTTACCATCAAATGTTTTTTTGCATGTCTGAAAATTTTCTATTTCATGATTAAGTTGCTGATTTCCGTTTTCTACAGTTTTACACATATCTACATGTTCAGAAATATCTTGTATCTTATTACAAATTATTTTATGATTTTCAAATATTTCCTGTGTTTCACAGAAAGTTTGGCACTGTAGGCATATAACGCTAAGACTTCCATTTTGGATCTTATCTTGTTGCAAGTTTAATATCTCTTCTGTGATAGTCTCACTTGCATTACTTTTACTGTTAACTTCTCTACAAGTTTGGATTAGAGTATTTAGTTCTAACGGCACAATATTTTTCGAAATGCTTTGAAAATTATTATTCTGTATTTCAGTACATTCTCCATTTTCTAATTCTCTTAAACTTTCTGAATCAGAGTTTATTATTTTATTTATAGTAAATGAATTAGGATGCAAATTATCATCCATACACATTTCTTGGACTATCTCTAAGGAACATTCGTCAATCAATGCATTGTACTTATTTTCGTATTCCGGCTACACACACAAAACAAAATATTTATCAATATAATAATAATAAATATATTTTAAAAACATTTTTGATAAAAAAAATGTAACTTACAAAAATATTTATAATTATAATCGACTAATGTTATATTAGTTCTTACCTCTCTGTCAATATTTAGAAATTGTTTTAAGCGTATATCAGTTCTAAGACATGAAACAACTAGTGAATGAGCAACTTCCAATTTATTACAGCAATCGGTACATACTTTCCGTGGTAATGAATCGTTTATGTTAATCGAGATAGGCATATGTAAATTTATTCTATCTTTTAATTTAAGTTCTATGCCCTTGGTTGCAAAGATATCTATTCCATCTAAAGTAGATATTCCACAGATTCGACATAAATTGGCAAATTTGACAGAAATATTATGATACTCGTCTATCTCGACATTCATATCACAATATGTTAAAGGCACATTATCACCTATTTCTTGGAGATGCTGTGCCTTATGAAATATATTTATTGAATCTTCATCGTCAGTAGTCAAGTCAGTCGCAAATAAAGTGGGAATGGTCCCTTCTTCTACAACAATGGGAATAGTTTTGCTTATATAACAGCGATCTTCAATGTGATGAGAACAAATGTAATAATTCAAATGCAATTCCGCATTCGATTTTGTAGCTAAATCCGATCTGCCACAACATTCTGCCCATACTTTGGCTCTATAAAAATTATTGTCAAGATTCAAATTATAAAATAATGAGTATAATAATTGTAGTTTTCGAGCAATGATAAAATAAGCATAATAAATTTAATAATTATCTAAGCATCAAAAATAATTAATCGGAAAAAGTATTATACTTACGTGTCATTGTTGGGAAAATTGATAAAAGTGACATTCGAGGAATCCTCGTTTTCTGAGGAATATTTGCAATTTAACGCAGCGCAAACAATTCTCATCTTGGATGATTATTTCTCATTGCAAGTAGAAAAGTTTGTCGTCAAACCTCTTTCCCATGGAAAGTTTTTACAATTCGGAGGTAAGAGAATCGAGAAATGAAAAGCTGTTGGTAAAGAAGCCGCGACTGCTACGCCGATCCACTTACGTTCCACGAACTAATTTATGGCGCTTTATTTTGAAATTACATATCCCAATCTAAACTTACAATTAAATCTATATGGATTCTTTATGCTAATTAATTTTAATGAATAAAAGATAACGCAAAGTCATAAATTGCCCGGAAACGTAACTCACAAATATAATTAATTTCGTAATGCAATTCAGTTAATGTAAATGTAATTAATGCTAAATTAGAAATCTATGTAAATATTGAAAGTGATATTATGAAATAGATACGATTCATCGGTCTGACATTAATATGAGTTCGAAATACGAATTGTTCAATGATCACATATATTTCCATCGCTCATGAATATGAATTCATTTAAGTAGCAAACGATCACGTGTTAAATAATTTAACTATAATCTATTAAGTATAATCTATTAAGTATATACTATATAGCTATAATCTATTAAATATACTCTCTTCTTTCTCTAACAATCTATATATCTATAAATATGTACACACACACACACACACACACACACACACACA